TAGTATAGGAAAAAATTGCGTCTATGAATTTTTAAATATTGAGGTAATACTGTCAGTCAGATGTTCAGCATTTATAATTTTGAAAAGCTGACTTTAAAGCAAAAAATGGAAAGTCTAAAATGACGTTGATTTGAGAGCAAAGAGTATCCAAAAATTACTTTGCTTGCCCGTTTGGTTTACTTTTTACGGTAAAACATGGCGCCCCCCTTGCCACTCGTGAGCTCTTGCTCGTGAGATGAAGAGCTAGCTAGAACGTTCCAGCGCTTCACGTTTCTGTGTTTATAGAGGGAGAGAGCTGTATTTGAGCTCAGAGAGAAACTTTGTCTGTTACCTTTACGTTGATTTTGAGTCAGTTTAAAGGTAAGTGGGCAATAATACCCTTTGTTATAAGAGGCTAGCAGCAGGTTTTGCATTATTAGCAGAGCTGTATGTTTGTAGTAAAGTATGATCCTGGTATATAAACTGTGGGGCTTTACCTGGTACCACTGCTAGTACACTTAAATTAATCTGAGGTTATTTTGAAATATTCCTTTAGTTGTCTTGTTGATTTTTTTTTCTTTTCTCCACTTTACCCTTTAGCTGTTAACACCATGTCAGAAGACAGGCAGACCAGGAGACATCCCCAGAACCTCCAAGGGGTCCTTCAGCTCGCAGTGGAGGCTGGATCCGCTGCAGAGGGTCCTGCCCCTCCTGAACCCATGTCAGAAGAGGTACGTACTTGTACCCTAAGCAGGATCAGGCCAGATGACCACACAAACTGTTGGGTGTCGACTTTGTAGCTCACACCAGGACACACATGCTTGTAGCATAGCTTCACAATGTGGCTTTGACAGAACTACGGCTTAAATAAGTAGAATGAGCAACTAGTCAACTAAAAGCCTTATTTGCATGAGGATATAATAATAATATAGTAGAGTAGATCCAAAAATGATAACAACAACAATAATAAATATTTTTGTTTTTACAGTAGCAACATGTGTTGCTCCGCTTTGCAAAACATCCCACCATAAACTATTGATATATCACATTTTCATAGTTTTCAGAGTGCTTTGAGAGACAAAAGTATAATACTGCATTCAAACAGAAAGCCGGACATTGTGGCCAGAAATGAACAGGACAAAACTGGATCACAGAAAACTTTTAATTTAAGTAGTGAACAAGGTATAGAAATTATATCAATCAGAACTACTGGCAGCCCCCCACCCCACTTAGTCCTCAGTATTTTGGTAGGAAGGGGATATCTTTGACAACACTTTTAAATTTGATAAGTAAATAAATGCCATTGCCATCAATGATGTTCTCTCTTAGCTTGATTTATCACAAATGTTTTTATTCAATTGTCAGCCAATAACTGATACTACTTAGGGGCTTGATATCTTAAACCTACAGTGCTATGTATACTGTTAATTTGCTGTAGATAGTTTTTCAGGCGTGCTACTTCCTCTTGTGTCCTCCCTTTGTGCAGTTTCCGCAAATTCAGGAAACCTTGCACACCATGCAGCTCTCTGGGAATGACCGTGTTGGCTCTAAAACACTGTTTCAAACTATTAAAAACTTTGACATTTTTTTTAATTTCAATTAAAGAAATTGTAACAATGTTTAAAGATAAAATGTTAAACTGTTTTTTGCTAAGTTTTCTGTCTTGTGTAGACACAGCAATGGCCTTGTCTCTTAAGTTTGATGCCTTTTTTGTGCTTGAATGTCAAGTGGTTCAACAGACAAACAAAGAAGCATTCTTCTAAAAATGGTCAGGTAGAAGGACTGGACTGAAAGTCAGTTTTTAAAAAAAGAAGCCAATGTTGAAAGAAAAACTTTGAAAGACCTTTGGAAATCCTGGAGAGTTATTGCTCAACTATTGCTTAAAAATTCAAAGAAAGTCTTTCTTGGAAGTCAAATATAAAGAAATGAGGAGTGACTCAAGACTTTCGTACAGTAATATATAATTGCACATCACTTGAAATCTCATGTGTCTGAGTAAGACACTGATGTCCACATACGTTATTTTTATTTTTTTTCTTAATGCGTGCTTGGAGGTATCACATCAGAGAATTTGAATTCAGCATGACAAACTACTTCAGGCTCTTTTTTGTGCCTTTCTTCCAGAGGAAAACATGGCTGAGAGAAGCTCTTACAGAACTGTGCAAAGGGCAGATGGATGAAGTGGAGCAGATGAAGCAGTGCTTGGCTGTTCTGTGCAAAGAAGGAAGTGAAAGGGAGAGGGGTGGAGAGGAAGATAGGGAAGATGATGATGAGGACTGTGAGCGGGAAACGGCCTTTGAGATGCTGTCCGAGCTGTGTGAGAATCTGGACAATGCCAGAGGTAATAAATGGTATTAGAGCAGAGGGCACGCTAAAGACAGCGTGTGTTCACTGTACGCTCACTGCATCCTGTCCTCTGCAGACCTGATGACCCTTGGTGGGCTGGAGTTGTGCGTCTCCCAGTATCTTAATCATGCTCAAAGTGGGTTGAGGTGGCGTGCTGCCCAGCTCATTGCCTCCTGTGCCCAGAACATGCCACAGCTGCAGTTCCACTTGCTTAGCATCGGGGCGCTGCCGAAGCTTCTGCAGCTGACAGATTCTGACCCAAACCCCACCGTCAGGGTGAAAGCTCTTTACGCTGTCTCATGTGAGTAGAGCCATAATGCACGCATGCTTCAAAACTGAGCTTCATGACAACAAGCCTGCAACCAATTGCTGCACATCAGTCATTTCACATACATGATCCAGAACCTCGGATTGTCCATGTGACAGTCTGCGAATTTTAGTGCGGTCAACAGTTGGTTCCCATAGTTGATGTTTTAGATGGACAGGCTATTCAACGGCTATTTTTAGTGGCCAGCCTCCCAACTGTATCGCCTGTGTTTATGATATTGTTATATCTCATGTTTCCTGTCAATTCAACTTTAAGCCTAAATTATCTGTTGCTTTCTTCTTTAGTGCCAAACGACACATGGCACCGTCTTTTTGTCCCAGCTCTGTGCTTCACAACCCTCAACAAAACTGTGTCCTGTCGTAATCATAGGTCTGGTTCGAGAGCAGGAGGCAGGTCTCCAGGCCTTCCTGTCCCACGATGGATTCTCAGTGCTGATGCGAGGCATGCAGTCAGAGAACGAGAAGCTCAGAACCAAGTCGGCTTTCCTGTTGCTCAATCTGCTGATGTCGCATCCCGAACAGAAAGGTATGGATGGGAAGGACATTCAGACAGGATAGCGCTGTAAACCTGCACCAGTACCAATACAACACTTTGTAGCCTTTTATTAAGACACAACATGGTTTAATAATGTCTCTAAAAGCTTATAGAGACACCTTTTCTGTGGAAAATGAAGATATTTTATTTGCAGCTTTGCTCTTCATCCATGATTAGTCGCCAATATGGCAAGTTCTGCAGTTAAAGGGTAAAATAACATAAAAAGTTTTTAAACGATTTTTTTTAGCAATTAAATTTCGTGTTAAAACTTTTATACTTTCTCCCTTTTAGTTTTATCCTTGCAGTATGTGTGTTTCTCACTGATCTTGCTACCTTTGTCTGGGGAAAACATGGAAAAACTATTTTAATCTTAACTACACATACATAGTAGACCATAACAAGAAGAACTACAGCAGATTTTTTACTTTGGATATTTAATTGGTTTACTCTTTAAACATCTATCTAAAGTTTTTGCAAGCTTTCCTTAAAAAATGGCTTGACTCAATATAAACTCAGGCATATTCCTGATTATTTCCCCCCGCAGACACGCTTGTTGCCATGGGTATGGTACAGCAGCTGGTATCAGTTCTCCGTACACCGCATTCACCCGTCCATGAACATGTGCTTGGTGCCCTTTGCTGGTAAGAAACATTCATTATGATACTGAAAATCTGACATTATTTCATGGCTGGTTTTAGTAACTGTACCCGTCCTTGTTACTGATGGTGGTGTAGTCTGGTCGAAGACTTTCCACAAGGGCTCAATGACTGCAGGAATCCTGCTCTGGGCCTGGAGGAATTACTCAGACAGAGATCCAAAGAGCTCCAAGGCAAAGAAGAAAGTCAGGTAATTCATGTGCCTGAGAATCAGATCGTAAAACTCGATAGAAATGTTGTGATTATGCTACAAAATTTCATTTCAGTCATGAAATGTGTTTTTTCCATGTAAAACTAGAGGTGATTGTGGTTAAAGGCTAACTAGTTGTAAACAATAAAGAGATATATGGCTGCTTTTTTTTTTAAGTTTAAAAGATTGAAAATTAAAAAAATAAGCTGAATCTTATTTTTCTTCCTCTTAAAGTCACATGTTTGTTTCCAACAGGAAGAACTTGATTTCTGTGAGCGACTCAGGGTTATGTGTTTCTCCAGGCAGCAGTCAGATGACACTGGGATGGATCGTTGATTTTTTAATTCTTTCTTTGTTTGCTTGTTGTTGTTTTTTTTTACCCTGACATGTTTTGGCATCAGTATGAAAAGATAACAGAACATTCATGAGCTGGGACATGTTTTTTGTTGTTGTTGTTGTTGTTGTTGTTTGGTCTGTTAAGACAGTTGCACATGATCCAGTACCTGGATTTCACTGTGTAAATAATTGTACTGTATATTGTAATGTATAAAACAACTATTTCAGTCCAATGTTTGCCATTCTTAATATCTTAACTGTCATCCCAAGCATCTCCATTAAAGGTAGTATGTATAGTACTCTATTTTAATTGGCAGAACACAAATGCTGAATTTAGTTAAATCTATTTTATTTTATTATAGTATGCTTTACTTTTACATTTCCTGTCTCTTTTCAGTTTTTCTTGAAACAAAACTCCCAGTTGTTGACATAATATTTATTACTGTTAATAAAACATGGGATTGCGTGTATAAACATACAGTATAATGAGCAGTTCACATCATGCCACCATATGCACAATCTACATGTAAACATGCATGTCAAAGAAAATATTTTGATCATTAAATCACAGAATATAAATATTATAAACTGAAGTTTACTGAATGTTTTTCCATTTCATTTGGAAATAAATTCTTTCATTTTTAGAACATTGCAAATTGAATGTATTTCCTTTTCTTTGTTTCTTTCTTCTTTTTTTTTAACCACTTACAACAAATATTTATGGAAATGGAGAGCTAATGTAGTACAAGCTTTTGGAGTACAACAGGGATACTGGTTAGGACCTCTTCCATTTTGAAAACTCATCCGTGTCCTCTACTGCTTGCATGTCACCCACAGCGATTAGAAGCTGTGCCAGATAATAGGTCACCATTACAACAGTATTACCGTGCTGCATTGGTGCCACCACCTTAAAAACTTGCAGAGACAGCGTTGCGTCGGATACCATGAAGCTCAGACTTCCCAAAAGTGTTGCTACGTTGCTAGTTCTAGCTGCTAATAGACCCATTAGAGTAATTAAGACAAAGTAGACTCCAACAGCTGGAGTTAGCACTTCAGAGTTTGGGTCCTTTTGTAGAAATGGAAATAAAAATGTGTAATAACCTCCTCCAACCATAAACAGGATCAGATAGAGAAAACGGCTCCAGCAGGAAGAGGAGTTTTTTGTGTAACGACTGGACAGGAAGGAAACTGAGTACAACAGATGAGCCACAGCAAATGCACCCATTCCTGAAACAGATATTGAGGACATAATGGGCATGTGATTTGCAATTTATGAATCCTGGAGTGTTAAATTTACTCTCTGAAAGTAACTATTACAAATACTTCTTACAATAATGAGGCATGTGCGAGCAATAGACATTTCATAAAAGAAAAAAATGCTCAATTTTTTGAACTCATCCACCACCAGCGCTTACCATGCAGGAAAAGCTCAGGCCACACCAGGCAGCAGTCACCAACAGCAGAGAAGACCAGTCCTCCCACCACACCTAGGACACTCTGACCTCCATTCCAGCTCAGCACCACTGCAGCCAATAGGAGTACTGGTGCAGATTTGACACCTGCAGACATGATGGACGGGGGCGAAGCAGGAGTCCAAAGGTAGAAGTACAGAGCTGCAGACAAAAAGAAAGGCAAGAGAGACAGAAAGAGAGCACAGGACTGATAGAAATGGACGAAAAGAAAGAAAAGGGAGAGATGCATCAAGTTTTTGTACAGAAGTAGATTCAAGTTATGATTTCAAACATCTCCTTTCCATCTGGTTTCACTAAGCAAAGTGCTGCTAGAAATAAAGAAATACTGGCTGTAAATAGAGGTGAACTGTACCTTATTTCTCCTCTGCCGCCTGTGATAGGCGTGAGTCTCAAGGATGTCCATCTTCTCTCAAACAGCACTGCTGTGGGCAGACGTCTCAGAAGGATAAAAGTGTCTTTACTGTCTTGTTTGCCAGCGATCCTCAGCTCCAACGATCCTCAGCTCCTGTACCCCTCGCCTTGAACCTCTGTCGTGTCTTTCAATCTGCCTGCATTTCATGTCGATGAACTTTAGACCGATCCTCACTGTCTGATTGCGCTCTGATAATCAATTCGCTCCCTGTTTTGAGTTCTGCTGGTCAAATTGCTCACCCTTGACCTCACCAGCAGGATTACGTTGGTGACATCAGCACAGAAGGAGCAAAGTTGAACTGTGCAGGTGTTATCACTGTGAAATGTAAACTTTAATATCAGGAAACTGACAAAACCTGATGATTGTTGTTGTTGAGACTTTTTTATGTCTCAATGTTTCATAAAACAAATGTGTAAAAAAAAAAGTTCATTTTACAGGAAAGGATTGGATTCTTTGATAAACAGCTGTAAATTTGTTATAACAATACTGGGGGTTTTTTTGTGGCAACTGTTCAAAAAAATGTGGATGGTTATGAAAAACACGCTATGCCAAAGCCCCATCCAGTTTCCAGTGCTTCACATTTAAAGTAAAGGAAAGGGCTCGTTTGCTCATAGATACTGATGAATATGACACATTTCTTTTGTTTGTGATCAAAGAAAGTATGACACACATTCTGACACAGAAGAAGAATAAAATGCTTTGTATGTTGAATGATGTTCAGTGCTCGTCTTGACTGGATTTTGTTTTGAAAATTTCAAACAATTACATTTTTCTGAAGCTGAGATTTAAGTTCAAGCAGATGGAGGAGGAGCCCTGCGTGTAATAATTTCACAGAACTGCAACAATGATTAACTACAGGCTACTCTGAGTCAAACTTTGTGCTTTGCCTGAACACAGTTCTTGCAGCTCTGGGCTGGTTATTGAAATTCAAGGTGTGGGACAACGCTGGAGGGGGTGTAAGTTTACTGGGTGTATAGAGTAATAAATGCAGTAACTGTGCAAGAAGGGGTTGATATCAGGTAGGGCTTAAGGTCAATATAGACATGTATATGTGTGCATGTGTATTGGTTTGCTTTGCGACTGCACTCTGGGCTTTTATCTGCTTTGTTTGCTTCCTTTGTACAGCTATGGCGACCGATTCTTCCTCTTTAAGGATTGGAGTCGTAGGATTTGGACATCTAGGTCGGAATTCCCCTTTTAAATCCCAGGCAAACACTCTTTAAATTGCTGTATATTATTTCCTGAAAGCATGTGCATGTGTGTGTATGTGTGTGCAATTTAGGTCAGTACCTAGTGGAGAGGATCAATAAAGATGGACCTGCCCTCGGTTTGACTCTGGGTTTTGTCTGGAACAGGAATTCTGGCAAGCTCAGTGGTTTAGTCCCCTCTGAACTCATACTCGGGGATCTATCGTCCTTTGCAGAAAGGTGCAAACATGTGCATAAGCATTAAAAACCCACGTGCACACAGCATGATTGTTCTGTGCACACGTGTTTTTATGTATTAAATCAGGAACGCTATAAACGTACTGTATTTATCTTCGGGAATTTCCCTTCTGAACTTTGAAGAATAATCATTGTGTGTTTTGCAGGCGATGCGATGTGATTGTTGAGGTGTGCCATCCTCAAATAGTTAAAGAATTTGGGCTCCAGTTTCTGTCTCAATCTCATTTCATGGTGAGCTACTTCTGATTTTGCTATTTCAGTGAAACAGCTAGTACATTTCTTTGTTTGTTTTTTTGATAGATTCTTCCAATGTTATATTTTATTTATAGTACTTGACAGATTTTATTTTAATTGACTGATACAGTTTGATTTAAATCTGTCATTTTTATGATTTCATACCATTAAATCATTATCAGGCTGAACCACTGATACGAGGCAGAATGGGTCCATCCTTTCATGTTGTTTACAACAAAATTGGACCCTACCATCTGAATGTCACAGCAGAAATCAAACCTCATCTGACCAGGCAGCATCTTCTTTTGACTAATTTTGGTGAATATGTTCAAACTGTGGCCTCAGTTTCCTGTTCTTAGTTGACAGGATGTGGTCTTCCGCAGCTGTAGCCTGTCTGCTTCAAAGCTGTGCATTGAGAGATGCTCTTCTGCATATCTTGGTTTTAACGAGTGGTCAGTTGAGGTACTGTTTCCTTAAGGTACTGTGAGCGTACATAAAATGGACAGAATATCATGTCATTCGACTGTAAACAATCGCCATCTCGGTCCAGCTGAAGGTTATTAAATGTTCTCCTCCTTGGAGAAAAGTCCTCCACTGTCCTCTTCACGGACCCCTCAAAAGTATTTGACTGTTAAGCACAATTCTTTCTCACAAACTACTCATTCCTCACATAGAGAAACAAACTGTTAATGTTAATCATAACTTTTACTCAACCATCAGAAATAGGATGGCAGAGAGAGCATCTGGCTATTTAAATTGGCTATTTGCTTTGCAAATAAGGAAAATGCTCATTTCTATACTTCAATGTTCACTTTTTTGCAGACAATAGTCTTTCATATGCTTCAGGATTAACCCCAGCAAAGTCTTAATTCACCCTCATCTGTTTTTGATACTTTCCAATTAACACTTCTCAGTCACAGACTGGATTTAAATGCATAAAAGACCAAGCACATGGTATCTCCACTGCAGCTGTGACTATGAAGCATTCTGCAAATCACATTTTAAATATATCTCCACATTAATATTTGAAGAGTTTCGCATGTACACGGGCGTTTGGTTTGATAGCGTTTGCTTTGTAGATTTAAATTCAATAACAGGTTCAAAATTCAGAGTCGACAGACGGTCATCCTAACCCACAAACACTTGAGAAGTCAACGACACTTCATCATTTGTTTTGCACCTTTGTTTTTCGTTTTTTTCCTCCTCTAGGTGGGCTCTCCATCTGCCCTCGCTGATCCTGATCTGAACCAGAAGTTGAGTCAGGCTGCTCAGAAGTATGGCAGGACTCTCTACGTCCCCAGTGGTGCATTATGGGGAGGCCAGGACATCCAGAGGCTGAATGACAGTGGGAAAATAAAGGTAAAACAAGGATAGTCCAGTGTTTAAAACCATGGAAATGAACATAAGCGATTTAATGTTGCTTTTTCCTTTCATGGTTTATTTTTAGGCTTTGTTCATCAGAATGTCCAAGCATCCCTCCTGCTTTCGGCTGACAGGAGACGTCCTCACTGACTGGACGGAGGGAGAAGGCAGGCGTGTTTTGTTCAGAGGCTCCATTGCAGAGTTGTGCCCACTCGCTCCTAACAATGTGAACACCATGGCAGCAGCAGCAGTGGCAGCAGGGACACTGGGCTTCACTGGTGTCCAGGGAGAGATTGTGTCAGATACAGCGTGAGTGCTTCTAAAAGTCGGATTGTTTGTTTGAAACCATCCTGCCTGCATCTTCCAGCTTCATGTACCTTCATGCCGCAGGTTAAGAGACTACCATGTGGTGGAAGTGGAGGTGACTGGGCCTGATGGTTTCTCAGTACACACAGTGAGGAGGAATCCAGCCAAACTCGGGGCTGTTACTGGCAGCGCAACTTACAGCTCTTTCTGGAATAGTTTACTCAGTAAGTCCTAAATGACTGCCAAACACTTTCTCAGTGAATCTGATGTAAAGCACTCTGTGTCACCCTTTTAAGGTATCTATCATGTCAACACAAACACCTCCAAATTGTACTTAAGCACAGCAAACTCCTTAAAGTAGTTATAAACAGGGATGAAATGCTCAGAGCTATTTTTAGACCTGGTGCAGTGGGCCTTGTGTTCCTCGTGGTGCAAGACAATGCCTGACCTCATGTGTGCAGAGCGTGCAGGCAGTTCCTGGATGATGAAAGCGGTGGTGATTTCATTTTTTGTTGTAATTTTAAATTCAGGCTCCAAATGATTAATGGCTGGTTTCCGGTGACCGTTGTTGAATCATTTCGCTCTCACTCAATTACTCATATTAATATCTTATGTGTGGTTTAAGTGTTTCATTAATTTATTCCATAATACACACACACACACACACACACACACACACACACACAACACTATTACAATGGTGAGTGCTCATATTAAAGTATAAAACTGTAAAAGTATTCAGTTTTACAGTTTTTTCGATGGCTTTTTATGACGCTAGTAAATGCACATATATTTATTATAGTCATCTCCAGCACATGCACCATGAGAATAAAGGACCCATGATGACACCTGCTGCTCAAAGCTTTCCTTTCCAAGAGGAAAAGAAAGAAAGAAAACTGGCTCACAGATGCCCTTAAAGGCCCTAAAGGAAGTTTCTCTTAGTTTATGAACTTGGGAGCTGCACCGAGGCCAAACATAAGATATATGGGGATTATATTAAGTGTGATAGCATCATAGGTCCTCTTTGAGTGTGGAGTACGGTGTGTTTCAGTATGTTTTTCATGTGAAGACTCAGATTTTTACATTCTTGTTTTTCTCAGTTTGCAAAGGTCACGGGGGCAGAGTTTACCTGTGCTGAAACAGCCAAGCACTTTGGAGGATTACCTACAACGGAAGAAGAGGATTCACTGCAACATTTCAGCTGATCTGAATGATTTATGAAGGAGATGCTGTGTAGATAAGATCAGTATGTTACAAAGAAGCAAATCTTTGGATATATTTGTTCCAATAAACTGCACAAACACAATGAAAGAAGAGCCCGTTACTGTTTATAAAACACCAAACAGGTGTATATAGATATTTAAATTTTATTATATGTTCATCTGGTGCAAGATTGTGAGAAATGGAGTGATAGTGACAGTATACGGCTGGCAAAACCATTTCCTTTTTTCCAAAACAAATACTCAAGACATACAGTAGCTTGTTTTTCAGCCCTTTCTCTCTGTCAGGTCTTCTACCTGTAAACACAGTTTCCATCTTAGGACACAGTACCCTTTCCCCTCTGTCTTACCTCTTTTCATTTCACAAATAAATACTTGCTGAAACAGGCGAACCAAGGAATAATCTCCACACACAAGCGCGCACAAACACAGTAGGAGTACAGTGGACACACTGTGATACTGTAAGGCACACAAACAAAATGAGAACACACTCACACACAAGGCGATACCATTCTCCGAACGAGAGCGTTTTCAGCATTATCAGTGTGTGCTCTTCATTTTGTTTCTATTTTGAGAGGTTATGCAAAAAACAAGGCGCGTGAAAGAAAGAAAAGAAAAAAAATGCTACAAAAAGGT